AAGGCTGAGCCCAGGAGGTAATCGTAGTGTCCTCTCTTGGCGCCAGCGCCAAGAATGAGTGTCATACTCGTAATCAGGATGTTGAATTACCCCTATATACAAGTTTTTAGTGGATTTGGTGACTTAGGCAATTTGAAAATGAGCTCGAAGACGAAATTTCTGGAGTCCAAACGGCATTAGCCTCGCTTTAACACGTTCGAGGCGGAGTGTACTCCCAGGAGTGCACGAAAAAACTCCGCTTTCGGCGAATCGTGTACTCCCGGGAGTACACGCGCGTATTGGTCGTTTTTGGAACTTTCTTTTCATTCTTCACGAAGGATTGGATACAGATAATCAAAGAAACAATATAGAAATAATATGCACACATTAGAAAAGGCATGTACTCCGGAAAAACACTCAAAATCTTTTTTCTTCAGGCGAATCATGTATTCCCGCCACTTCGCTCGTTTTTGCTCTTTTTTCCTTTTCATTCATTTCCTTTTTGTGTAACAATCATATACATATAAAAACAAACTATAGGGGAATAATATTAACATGCTCAAAGAGGCGTGTACTGCAGAAGAAACACGCTAAAACTTTTCTCTTCAGGCAAATCTTTTATTTCCAGAAGTGAACGCTTGTTTTTAATATGATTTTTTTTCCTTCTTTTCGCTGACAGTTGTATACAAATACTAATGCGAGCAATTTAGAAGTAATATCAAGATGTGTTTTGGCGGGGTTGTATCCTCTCCGAGCGCGCTGAACCATAAACGGAACGACTGGCTAAGTGTCGCCTGCCGCGAACGCGCCGCTCGACAAACGGAAGTTTTTGGCGAAACGGCGCCGCCGCGAACGTGTTAATTGTACCAGCCTCTTTTGTTGTATCTTGTTTTGTGATACAAGAATAGCCAATAATTGTACCAGTAGCCGCAATCGCAAACTTGGCAACAGAACATTCTTGCCATATAGGATGTCAGTAAACCTAACAGCGGTTCGATCCCTAATACAGGGAGTACATATATGTAACATAATTTTACTCTAGTTAGAAGAAGAAATAGAGATATGTAGAAAATCCTACTACAAAAGCAGCAATGGTTTGTTTAGTCTTGTGACTTACGTTTGTTAGTAAGTCAAAAGACTGCATCTTATGACTTTTTTTCTTGCTGGTCACGGTCACTCCCTGATGAAGTACTTTTTAGGTGTTTGTTGGGAGATTCACGCCTGTAGCTCCAGAGTATGTGAAGGATCAGTTGGATGAACTCGTGGATTGGTTGAGGGATCCTGGAACGTTGGAAATGAGTCCAATTGAGAGAGCTGCTATCGCTCACTACAAACTTGTGGGTTTGATCTTTCGCTTCCACAAATAACTCTCTTTGATAATTTTGCTACTAGCCTTGAAACATACGATTTTGTACTAACTGAAATCTTTGGGGAAAAGGCTGTATTCTTAAATAATAAATTTTCGTAGACCTCATGTGATTGCTAGCTAGCCCTCGGTTTAATGTAGACTCTATAGTTGTTTTCCTTTCGTAAATGATCTACAGTGTACACTCTGACTCCACGTATATTACTGGAACGGTGGATAGTTTTCCTTAGAAAGATGAATTGACTCCATGATTCTCTGGCTCGTGAAATTAAATGGTAACCACAGCAGCTCACTAGAGAGCATAGACAAGATTTGGACTGCCACAATTTCAAGTAGGGTGAGTACTTAAAGGCAGTTGGCACGATAAATCCCCCAAGGCGAGTAAAGTTAATACGCCCGCAGAAAGGAATTCCGCGACTGTGAGCTGCGTAATGCCTTTTCCAAGGAAGGTGCCCCTTATAAGGGCCCTATCAAGCACCCGACCCAAACGCCCGCCACGCCCGCCCGCCCACAAATGGACGACCGTTCCTGACGCTCTAATCGATTCATTTGCTAAGCAAATTATGAAGCGAAGGGATTGGTATGAAGCGGCCGTGATGCTGCATGGATATATGAGTACACATATGCAGCCGGTAGCGGTTATTGGCAAGATGCCTACGGGAAACTCGTCCAAAATTGATTACTAACACAGTGAGAACGGAGGCTCTTTTTCTTCGCAGGATTTTGACCGTTTCACTCCGTTCTTTCGCCATTTCCCCACTATATAGCGCCCTACTAGCATTTTAGGCTAAGTAGGAAACCATCGTGCCAACTGCCTTTAAGGATTGAGAAGTATTCTGCCTAACGTACAACACTGGGAGCAGAATTCGTCTGGAGATCACCATTACGGAAATCGTGGATACTACCAATGGAAACAAATCTTGTTGCGGGTGTGGAGCATTTCTCCCCAGTTGTGGCGAGTGCACGAAAAAACCCATTGGAAGGGGAGTGGCGTACGCTTCATTTGCACCACAGCACAATTCACTAAATGGAGCAGTGTTCCGGCGCGTCGACTCTATTCCTTCCGTCTGCATCTTTCAAGTTGACCAGCTCTTATTGTGCCTGCAGCCGTGATACCGCAACTAAGAAGTAAAGCTCTGCTCCTTCTTGCTGCTTGTTCTTGGGGAGGTGAGGTCGCAACTGTTTGATGGGGATCTTTACTCGAATTGATAATTTTTCTCGAGCATCGAGGAAAGATCTTTCTGTTGTTGATTTTTCGATGTGTCCCGTTTCATGTGTTATGTGTGCTAGATACCGTGCTAGTTGACTCCTCCGCTAAACCGCTTTTTTCAAGTTCATTTTAGAAGATGACTATTGACCCCTCCCTACCCTCCCTCCCCCCCCCCCCCTCCATAGGATGTTAGGTAAATTCAGAAAGAGTGAGATGGGAAAGGTAGCCTTAAAGGCAGTTGGCACGATAAATCCCCAAGGCGACTAGGATCAATACTCCTGGCAGGATAGAATTCCGCGACCCTGGGCAGGCGCTGCATAGCGGTTTCCCCGAGGAAGGTGCCCTTATAAGGGCCCTATCAAGCCACAACTTTACGTCCCAAACGCCCGCCACGCCCGCCCGCCCACAAATGGACGACCGTTCCTGACGCTCGTATTCATTCATTTGCTAAGAAGGGATTGGTATGAAGCGGCCGTGATGCTGCATGCATACATGGGTACACATATGCAGCCGTATCTTCGGTAGCGGTGATTGGCAAGAAAAACTCGTCCGAAATCGATTTACAAGTCACTGAGAACGGAGGCTTTTTCTTCGCAGGATTTTGACCGTTTCACTCCGTTCTTTCGCCATTTCCCCACTACATAGCGCCCTTATAGCATTTTAAAGCTAAGTAGGAAACCATCGTGCCAACTGCCTTCAAGCGATTTCGAGCGGGGGAGAAAGGGAAAATCACTGAAACCGCAATTTCAAAACACTGTACTGTTCATTGTGCCTCTTAAACATGTGTCATATTCAGCATTATTTACAATCTCAGGTTGTCGTTCACCCTTTCGTTGATGGCAATGGCAGAACGGCTCGTCTACTCTTGAATCTGATTCTGATGAGGGCTGGTTTCCCTCCTGTTATTTTACCAGTTGAATCGCGAGCTGAGTACTACGCAACTCTTCACACGGCGAACCTCGGCGACTTGCGTCCATTTGTGAGATACGTCGCTAGACATACGGAGAGCACTTTGAAGGTATGAAAATCTGGTATAGAAAAGTACCTTGCCAAGTTCTCGATTTGTTTGCATGGGGTTTTTTTGAGAGCAGATGCGGTTCTGACCTTTGACGTGCCTATTTTACTCTACACAGAATGAATTACCTTCGAGGCTCTCAATAACACCACACAATTACCTGAGAGGTGGTTCATTTCTATGTACAAGGTGGGCAGGCCTGAATCCGCAGAACTGCCATTTTCGAGTTTATTTCTCATGTAGAAGCTCACGACTAATTGTTACCAGCTGCTAACCACCCAATGGTAAGGGATAGACATCGCTTTTTCATCACTAGGGAGACTTAAAAACGCCTGCTTATTGCTGTGCGGCGGAACCCCAGTGTTCCTGCAAGTGTCACGCAGAGCTTTATCACAGAAGTCACTCGAGTAACTGTATGGGATCACCCTTCAAGGGAAATACCCGTACCGTAGAATTAAAAGATTTAGGATTTTCAGTTGCGCGTGGTTTACATACGCCGTGCTTGTGTACTGCTGCTTGTATACTGTACGGTATTCTGATTGAGTCATGTTTGATTGAATTCTGGATCGGAAAATATATTTTGGTGCTAGACTTTTGGGACAACCTAGTTTAATCTCATGTATGGACAGTGAGCAAAAGACGATCGTTAATGTTTCAGTTCTATATTGGTTCGGCCGAGAGTTGTATAGCGGCGGACTGCCCAGAGCATGAACTTCACGGTGAAGAAAATGAACGGATACAGTCTTGAAGAAATGGGTTTTTTATGTAAGGGTTCTCATAGGCTTCGTATTTATTCCGTCTCATCAGAAATGGGTCTAACTGTGATAACTGTTAACGATTTGATGTGATTATGTGATAATAATTTCATTTCACATTCGCTTTTCTGTTAGGAATCATGTAGTAGTTATAGTAGACAGCTGTATGTGTATCGTGTGCAATACGTTTGTTTTCCTTTTTACAACGTGCCATTTCGTTTATGTACATAATTCACTTTAACTAGAAACGAATTAAAAACAAGTGTTCGCGATTATTCTGAAGGATGGAGGGAGGTACTCGAAAAGAGAAGCATGTACTGGGTCGGCTCGTAAGTAATGGCGTTTTTTTCCCACTCAAAGTATCGCGCTGAAGACGGAAAATTTTGCCATTGAGTTTTATACCGTTTTGCAGAGAATTCCTTGCCCTACACGATAGTCTTCTTAGTTTTCTTCAAGTTTCTCTTTCCACTAATATTTAAGTGCTCAAACTGGAGTGTCAGGTCGACGAAATTGAGCATTTTCGACAGCCTCTCTTTTATACCTCTAATTAAAAAGCTGAAACCGCATGGGCCCAGCTGCTAAGTATATGGCTGAAACTATGTCTCTTAGGAATGCTAATAATACTTTGAGTGATTCGAAGATTCAGTTTCGACCTCACAGACAAGCATCGAACCTAATGCCCTATTCTGTCCAACTGAGAGCTTACGGAATTACCTTATTAACTGAGAATCATGCCAAAGATTGAGGGATCGTTAGAGGTCATAGAATGCTTCCTTATCATTATCAACCACCACCCTCAGTTGATGTTAGACGTTCGAAAATAAGTGGGTAAGGTTCTGCAGGCAGTTCCTCCCCAAGAGGGCCCCCTACGCGATGCTCTTCACAAGGCCCGAATTCCCACCTCTTGATCGCATGAATCCAACTAAAAGCTGTCATAAGACGCATCTTCTTTGGTCATATATACCACAAGGTTTGAGCTTCTTCTGTAGATTGAGAGCCGAGATAAAATTCAAAAAGTTGTCGAAAACTCACTTTTGGGTCGACCCGAATTTCCCTTTCAATGAAATAAAAATCGACACAAGTCGAGAAATAGTAAGAAGGCAATTATACTATTTCAAGTGTGGAAAATTACCTATCAAAAAGTGTAGAACATATTGGGAACAATTGTCATGTTCCATATACGTTTGTGTGACAAAAAAGACTATGGGCCAACCTAATAATAGTACGCTTCCGTCCCAACAATCGCTGCTCGCACCAACTATTGACGACTTGCAT